TCCCTTGGCCTGGCCTGCACCTTCTCACAAGCCAGGACCCCTTGGGAGATGTCAGAGAGCTAGTTTAACTCTTATCCCACAGGCCAGGCCGAGGGACGCCACCGGTGCATGAATTCATGCACCGGGCCTCTAGTGATATATAACTAACTATATATAGCATATATTTATCTATAGTATTAATTATATGAAGAACTTGAAATTTGAAAATATTTTGTATGTTTATTCTGCATATTTTCTTTTTTCTAAGAAAGTGTTTTATAAGGGTTTATTTGAGCCAAAATTCTGCACATTTTCTGAATCCAATAAATTCATGATCATCTAATGTGTATTTCTACAGAGTAAAATGTAGAAATACACATTCAACACCAAAACTCTTTACTATTCTTGCAAAGCTTCCACCTTTCATCAAATTACCTCCTATGTACACGTTAGGTTAGGTACACAATTAGTGGCTATAATTGGCTAAATATGTTTTTAAAAAGTTTGCAAAGGTCTTTTAGGCATCTATATGAGACTTATAATTAAGTAATAAAATAATTTATTAAAGAGAGGTTAATGCAGTGTTATCTTACTGTTTGCTAAGATCTTTTATCATATACATATCAGAGGCAGGAAGGCTTCCACCCCACCAATGAACAAGCACACGTGGCTTGCTGACTTACTGCAGCTAACAGAAAAAAGAGAGCGGTTAATTGGCCTTGGTGTGGCTGGAGTAGAGAAATAGATAAGGAAGGTTGCAGCAAATAAGGCTTAAAAGGTAAATTGATTATCTTCTCAAGGACCTTGTAAAGCCAATCATGCACTTGAACTTGATCCTATGAACAATGGAGAGCCAATAGAGTTATATGTGAATGAGTAAAATGATTCGATTTTATTTTTAGGAAGGTAAACAAAGACAGCATTGATAATGAATGAAAGGAGAGACATTAGCATAATCCTAGATAAGATAACAAGATTAACTTTAAACAGTCATTCTATCTAATAAAGAGGGAATATGCTAATTGACCCTCACACCTTCCCAAAGATAGTGGTGCCCACAGCCAATAAGGAGGGAATATGCTAATTGACTGCCATGCAGTCAAAGATGGCAGCGCCCATAGCCACAAGATGGCAGCACCCAGTCCCTTCAGCCCCGCAGGGGTGGCAGGCACATGGCAAGGCCAGGCTAGCCCCCAGGTGGACCCAGCCGATCCATGTGCCTGCCTCTGGAGTCCCCAAGTGCCCTCAGCTCCCCAGCCACCTAGGGCTGGCCTGAGGCACAGGCAAGCCTCAGATGTTGGCTGCCCAGCCGCCCAGGGCCGCCCGAGGCTCAGGTAACCAGGGCTGGCTGAGGCTTGTGCTGCCGGCAGTGGCAGCAGCAGAGGTGTGATGAGGCGTCACCTTCCCCTGATGGCCGGGTTACCTCCCAATCCTGAGGGCTCCTGGACTGTGCGAGGGGGGCAGACCCCCCTCCAGTGCATGAATTTTCATGCACCAGCCTCCAGTAATAATAATTTTAAAAGGGGGGCTAGATTTCTGAGACATTTCAATGACAAAATTCCCATGTTTTGCAGAGCCAGTAGATTTATTTAAAAACAATAGGAGAATGAATGAGGAAAAGAGTATGATTTGGACTTGTGTCCTGGGGATGACCAGTCAAGTTATAGTTTCTGTTTATATGGTGCATTGCAATTTACAAAACACTTCTATTTATACTGCTTTCCATTGTTTCCACAATCTTGTGATAAATTCATATGCATTCAATAATAAATAGGGTTTATAAAGCAAGATTAAAAAGGTTCCAACCCCTACTGAGTCATTTCTTTGCAAGATGTGATATCAAGTCATCTTTTTTTTCTTATGTAGCAGAGATTGACTTATGTTTTCCTCCTCAAAGATACTTGCTTACCTGTATTATCTTTGATTCTCCCCATAATATCAGACAAATGGATTTCCACAAAGAGCTTATTTAATGGGCATGCGTGTCATAGGTGACATCTGTGTGTTTCTGAAAAAATTTAGACAGTACTTCTCAAACTCTGAGCAGATGGATCACCTGAGGATTCTGATAAAATGCTGATTCAGACTCAGTGGGTCTTGGATGGGGCCTGAAATTCTGCATTTCTAACAAACTCCCCAGGATGCCAATGCCACTGATCCTTGGAACACATTTTGATTAGAAAGGATTTTGACTAAAGCCACACAAACACACACACACACACACACACACACACACACACACACACACACACATCAAAGTACCTTTGCTTAAGCAGGTGTGCCATTCTGAGACAATTTCAATGTACTGTGCCTGATTTCAATTTTAAAATCCCAATCACTTTCTCACAGGTTTCAAGGTGGATGTTAGTGGCTGCCAATAGTATACATAATTCCTCTGGGTAATATAACTGAATGCATTCCACTTCTGTCTCTGTTGGCAAGCATTTCCTTGAAGGTTTCTAAATATGCCAGTGGTCTTTTCAAGAAGAGATCTCATAAAGAACCATCTCATTACTACTTGTTCATTAATAGTTCTCTTACTGACAACTGGGATGCATACCTCTTCATTTTGCAAGTATTTTCAAATTAAAATTACTTTCAAAGCATTTTAAATACTTCTTCTGGCAATAACATTTGCCTGAAGCAGAATCCTGAACTCTCCTCCCACAGGTCTTTTTAATTTTTTATGATTCCATAGCCTGTGGGTTTACTTAACAGTCCCAAATTCCACACTATAATCCATGTGTGCTGAAAGATATCTGAAATCATTGACATGCCTGAGGGTCTTAAAATTAAGCAACAATCAGATGTGCCCTTGGGTAATTGGGCACGTTCAGGTTTATCTCAGAAATCCTCTCTTTCTTTGTCCTCCTCTTTCCTTCCACTCTCTTACAATAAACCCATTTGTGGCTCAGACAACTTTCTCCAAGAATGCTTTTTTTATTCGCAAGGAAGTCCCTCAAGTCAAACTCCAAGAGAGAGACAATACCTCTTCCTGTGCATGACAAAGGTTTGACCTTGAAAGCAACTGCTGATATTTATGAGATTCTAAGCAAGAACTCAGCCACCCTGGAGAAAGAAAGGCTCATGTGCACTGCATAGGCATTAAAAGTCCTATTGTCCCCTATATGCTGGACTGCTATATGGCATATGTTGGAAAGTATAGGCTAATCCACGCTGTCATTAATTTTTCAAAATGCCCTGGGACCTTTGAGCTGGACGGCTCATAGAGAGTATGTTGTCTAACCTCCTGTTCAATTCAGAGACCTTTAACACAACATCCTTGAGATTCATTCAAGGCACCAGGAGTCCTTCCTGAAGGGGTGAGACCCTAGCTGGACAGCTCCAGCTGTTAAACATCTGCAGCTGTGAGCGGTCACGTGCATTTCCTCCAGCTGCTCTGATGTTTCACACTATTCCTATTCACCTCCTGCCCTTACGTGGTCTTGCCTTCTCAACACCACAGTGCTAAGTCTTATTTACAGCTTTCAGTACTGCAAACCGAGCTTTCCTAAAATGACTCCACTTTAGTGAAAAGCTTGATGCTCATCAAAATATAGCAGCACCCGAACTTTGACACCTGCCATCAGACATTCCCTCACGGCACCTCGTCACTGTACTTTGAACTTCCATGGCACGTCCCGTTTCACACATTGTTCTGCTCTCCTAGGGAATTTGATGAAGTCGGCCTCCCCATGAGTATGCACCTTGCCCCTCCCACGTTTAGATGCGCTAATAAAGAGTTAAAGAACACGCATCAGGCCACACATATTGCTGGAGATCCAACTGGGAATAGAGCCCAGGAAACTTGGCTCTCAGTCTGGTGTGCTTCTAACCACATGACCATCATTTCTGACGGCTGTGAATTCACGTAGTACTCCTCCTGCAGAAACACGCAGGAGACGAGCACCTCGGCACACTGGGCGAGCCAGTGCACTGATTTCAGTAAACGGAATAATGTGTATTTTCCAGGATTCCTGTTGCCACTCTCTGTGAATGGGCCACATTTTGTTAATGTCACCAGGACACATGGCATCGCTGAGGGAGCTTTCATTACAGATTGTCCTGCTATTCGCGTTCTTGGCTCTTGTCTTGCCCGACACGGATTTTGCTCCAAAGGCATCTTTCTAAGAAGGCACTTCTGACTGCTGGCGGTGGTGGCTGCTGCTGCTGCTAAATTCTTCATGGGCTCTGTGCTGTGCCCTCCAGTACGCTTCCTGAGAGGCTGAGCCACTCTCTGCTTAAAATTTCAACTATATGCTCCTAAACCTGAAACAGATGTTATCTTGGCGGCCGTCATCTGCCATGGGCTTGTCTGTTTGCATTACATACAAGGCAGGTAATTTGCTGCCTCACTTTGTAGAGAAAGAAAAGGGGGTGGGGGGATGAAACAAAAGAGAGAATAAATACAGAAACTAGAGGAATAAAGCCACATGGAGTCAGAGAACTACCACTTGAGCATCTATTACCCTAATATCATATGCTATAGCTTGGCTACCACGGACTTGCCTGGCATCTCTCTTGAATCATATTTGTGGCCACCCAGATGAGCTATGGGAGCTGATCTTTTGGTTTAATATCAGCTTGCTCTTTTCAGCTCCCATGTCATTTACTATCTTAAAAAATGTACTCCTTGTTACTCAGGCATCTGTGTTTTCAAGAACTCACATTCTTATTTTTTTTTCTTTCTTTCTTCTTTTTGTATGGGAACCAGGAACTAGAAACTATTAAATGGGGGAAATTAACCACTCACAGTAAAGGTAGAAGCCCAAAGAAAAAGGGGTTTGTCTTGTATGGTTTGTACTTTGTAAGCTGTGGGTGTGACTCAATTTCCTCACCACCCACATAAAAAAGGTTGCCACCCAATCACTGTTTTTTTTTTCTTTCTTTTTCTATCCCAAACCCCTCCCCTTTGATTTTGGCTGGGAGAGACCCTAAGAAAGACTGCCCTTTCTGGACGTTGCCGACTGGGACATATAAAAGCTGTTAGCTGCTCCTGTAGCCAGCAGCATTCAAATCTTGCAGGCTTTTACTCTCAGAGTTTGTAATAAGACACACTCCTCTTACAAGAGTTCATACTACAACTTAGCAAAGACTTTACATTTTTGGAAGAACAAAATATTCATTTTGGCATTGTGCAGAGGTAAGCTATTTAGCTCAACAAGTTTATTTTGCATGCATTGATTTTAAAGTAGCTCACACTTTTTAAATTTTTTTTTAACTTTTAGAAATGAGTTTGGATGGTTATGGCTCGTTTGTATGTTTCTCTCACTTGGTGTCCATATGTGTCTGGGAGACATTATCAGCACATTCTCTGCTGTTACCTGCGATGCATTTTTTCCCCCTCTTCACTCTCCAGATGAATTTTAATTTCTAAAGATTTCCCTCTGAAAATACATATGCAGTAATGCATTTTGTGGTGCAGGAATTTAGGACAAATGGCTCACATGCTCACATGCATTTTAGGGTTAGTAGTCAGACTGCTAATTTTTCTCTAGCTGTAGGAAATTCCTCTTAGGAGTCTGTCTCATTAACACCAAGCAAAATGCAAAGAGGCTACTATAGGTGGTCTCCTAGGCTTGAATTCAACATGTGCTTGGATTTTTAATTTTTTTTATTTTTATTTTTTTGGAGAAAAACCAAAGCAAGCAATGCTCCCAAATAACAACTTGTACATCCACATTCTCGGGCCCATTTCCCCCCTTTCCTCGACCCTAATTCTACCTTTCTGATTTCAAGCAAAGGGAACTCGGTGCCTTCCTCCAACCTCAAAATGACAGCAACCTCTGCCGTCAGCGGCGCGCTCCTGTTCTCCCTTCTGTGTGAGGCAAGTGCTGTTGTCTTACTCAATTCCACTGACTCATCCTCGCCAACCAATAATTTCACTGATATTGAAGCCGCTCTGAAAGCTCAGCTCGATTCTGCGGACATCCCCAAAGCCAGGCGGAAGCGCTACATTTCGCAAAATGACATGATCGCCATCCTTGACTATCATAACCAGGTCCGGGGCAAAGTGTTCCCACCGGCCGCCAACATGGAATACATGGTAAGAGGAATTTTTCTGTACGTCCTGGGTGAGAATGCTTTGTTCCAATCGGACGTGAGAGGAACCTAAAGAGTGTCTGTATGAGATGCGGGGCGCTTTTTACCTGCTTCCAGAACCAGTCCTGTGTGCCTGGTGAGCTTAGGTGCTGTCCTATTACAGAAGGAAAGGGGGTGGGGGGTGTCTCATGAACTTTTGTGGGTTCCAGAACCATCCATGAATCAGGTCTTATATAAGAAACAAAGGTAAAGAGGGAGGTGTGTTGACTGGTCACAGTTGGAAGGTCCACTTTAAAAAAAAATTCATGGAAAATTTTGGGGGCTTTGTTTAGCTGATAGCCAAATGTCCCAGTTAAGACATTTATTGAAAATCATTTTTTTTTCAAATTATAGGTTTCGCGGGCATGATTTATTGTCTGGGTAGGAGTCCTTTCCCTTTCTTGGACAGGGCATTTCTGATGCTCATGTACAGTGTGCTCAGGGAACACGCTGCTCTTGCCTCCCGGTGATTTACTGCTCTGCCCCGCAGAGAGCAGGGGAGCCAGTGTGCACTGACTGGCCTGCTGTTCCAACTTGCTCTGAACACATTCTTTGCTCTCTCTTAAAATAGGCTCTCTGGGCTGAAATCATTTTACTTAGAACGTTTCAAATTGGGATGGTATTGAAAGGATAGATGTCTTTTTAATGTTTCTCTTTGGTTTTGAATTTATGCAAGGTTATGGTTTAAATTCCAGTACCTTCTAAGAGCACAGCTTGGAGCCTATTTAAGGCAATGGAGACCACCGATATGGTGTTTCTAAGATGGGTTTGTGGGGGTGGGGTGGGGGGGAGATACCACTAACAACTCTTCATAAGTGCTGACCTAAAATTTTGGGATTCCGATCAGATTATAAATTCCATCTATTTTATTCAAGTCTGCTTTTTAAGTTGGACTAATTGCAGCTATCACTGTCAGAGGGAAATCAAAGGCTTGCCAAGCGTAGGAGAGTCATAGTTCAGAAGAGTGCAGTTTAGACTCTATAAAAATGCATGTTCTTTGAATTTTTAAAGAAATAGGAAAAGGCGATGTAATCAGTCCTAGTGCATAAGGGGCAATATAGCCTCATGATTAAGACTATGAATTCTGGAATCGAAATGTGTGAGTTTAAACCCCAGTCCTGGGATATAAGCTGAGTGAATTCACTACCTCATTCATTTCATCATCTCTAATATGAAGGTAAAGGTAGTATCTGCTATACAGGGTTGTTATGAGGAATGTATAAGGTGAGTGGTGGAGCAATTAGACCAAAGCCTACTGCAAAATAGATGTTCAATAAACATTAACTTTTATGGGTTTCTATGAACTTCTTGTGAAAGGTGCCCAGCGAAAACCTATTCAAGATCTAAAGTAGTAAGAGTTATGCACATTGAAGAGGTGTTTCTAGAAGGTGACATATAGACATAGAAAGAAGAGAAATATGTTTTCAAAATTACCCTCAATTATGGAGTAATATGCATAAGGTTCTATTGAACTCAGAAAAATGTAATATCCAGATTGTGGGTTTAGGGCGGGGATCACATAGCTACGCAGTCAGAGACTCAAGACAACTGAACAGGCTTTGGAGATAAGCTCATCTGGGTTGAAATCCTAACTCTGCTGCTTACTTTATTGTCTTGTATACATTACTTAAACTGCTGAGCCTCAATTTTCTTAACTGTAAAATGGGAATGATAATTTACATAAGAACCCATCAGTACATGATGCAATTCACCATTTTTATGATATGAAGAAGAACCATCATGAATAAAGGCATAGGTGGGGTACAATGCAGTAGAAATAGAATGAAGAAAGCCACATTTTTCTAGTTATATCTTTCCCCACTGATCAAGAATTAATTCATTCCACATGTTATTTATTTAATTGCTTCTATGTGCCAAGGACTTGGTTAATTGTTTCCACAGATGACCTCATTTGATAGCTCACATTTTCCCTGTGAGGTTAAGACTATGGTCTTCCTTTTACCCTTTAAATCACTGAGACCCAGAGAAGTTCATGAATAGGCCAAGGTGGTGTGGGTTGTTATCCATATGGAACCGGATCACTGGGATTAGAATTTAGGTCTGTGTAATTCCAAAGCCCATGCTTGTACTGGGAGCATCTATGTACGTGTATTTAGATCTAGCAAGCATTCTACTGGAGGCAACCCCCGGAGATATTGGGATATCTTTGTGTCCTTCTTTACATTGCCAACTGAAATCCTACAGCATTCATATTTTATTTGCCATTCCCCTCTTTTTTGTTTTTTTCAGATACAGGAGCTATTACATATAATTTACTTTTTAAGAACCAGATTCGGTGCTGGTTAGATGATAGATGCTCTATAAATCCTCCTTAACTCAGGAAAGTTAATGAAAAATAGTATTTAGAACAGTTAAGTCCTATAAAGCAACATATGACTGTCTCAATTATCATGTAAAAACTGCATTTAACTCTAGCCAGTATGGCTCAGTTGGTTGAGTGTCATCCCATGCACCAAGAAGTCACTGGTTCAATTCCAGGTCAGAGCACATTCCTGGGTTGCAGGCTTGCTCCCCAGTAGGGAGCATGCAGGAAGCAGCCAGGAGGAAGGGATCGATGTTCTGAGCTTGCATGCATATTTCTCTCTTCATCTCCCTTCCTCTCTCTCTCTCTTTCTAAAATAATTAAAAATGTATTAAAAATAAACACTGCATATAGTTCATTTGCATAAGTATTCATTAATTTAATACATAGGCCCTATTCTAAGCATTAGGGAAACATTCATGAATAAAAAAGTCACTCCTTAGCCATCTGGGGTGGGGAATCAGACAATAAACAAGATAACTATATAAAGTTCACAGTACATCAGAAGATAATAAGATTATGAAGAAACAGGAAGCTGATTGTGGTGAGGTTGTGAAATTTCATAAGGTGGTCAGAGAAGAGCTCAGTGAGAGTATCCTGGAGAGAGAGGAGGGAGGTAGCCACACTGATAGGTGAGAGGAGATCATTCCCAGCAGAGGGAAGAGTAAGGAAGGACAAAGGCCCTGAGACAGGAAATTTATTAGTTCCATTAAAAAATATGCTTCATGTAGTGAAATTGTAGACCTCCCTGAGTAAACTGACCCATGGAAATAATTCAATGGACCCCTCAAGAAGACTCAGAGAAACTATTGAGGGAGGTACAATATAATAGGTAGCTTGGAGGTCAGGATGTAGTTGACTTTAATCTCTAAGCTCAGGTGAAAAATGAAGATCTCAATTGAACAGTTATCTTTGTTTTAACTTGTTCAACGTTGATTTGGATTATGAACAATTTGAAAATGAGTTCAGTTCCCAGCTCTACTCTGTATCTCAATAACTTGGGACACTTAGCTCACTATGGCCACCAGCCAAGTGTACAAATTGTCCCCATCAGTGAGTTATATCACTATGGGAGCCTCATAGAAGGCTGTCTTTAGCTCAGGGCTTTTCCTAATGGCACCAGATTGATTGGTAATCTCTCTCATTCCAACTTCTCTCTCAGAACCTTTTCCTATGCCATTTCTTCTCCTTCTAATGTTTCCTAATTAATGTCTGCCATTGTCTATAATCCTACCCTTCAAGTTATAATCAGAATGCGTGTCCTTTGTTGGTATTTCCCTTGATCACAACCTCATTTGATTTCTCCTTTGAAGCACCATAACCTGTATGTCTATACTGCTCTCATAACCTATACTGCTCTCATAACCTATACTGCTCTCATAACCTATACTGCTCTCATAACCTATACTGCTCTCATAACCTATACTGCTCTCATCAAAATGGAACTGGATTTACAGTTATTTGTATATTTCTGCAAACTTCTTCATTTTAAGCTCTCAGGGTGCTAAGTCTATGTTTAGTTATCTCTATTTTTAAGTAGCTTTAATTTTGATATGACAGTCAGCACTCCTATCTATGGGTTCTCCAACTATGGATTCAACCAACAGCAGATCAAATATATTTGAAATAGCCTATTACATAGTTGCTGACATATACTATATAGCATGGGTCCTCAAACTTTTTAAACATGGGGCCAGTTCACTGTCCCTCAGACCGTTGGAGGGCCGGACTATAGTTTTAAAAAAAACTATGAACAAATTCCTGTGCACACTGCACATATCTTATTTTGAAGTAAAAAAAACCAAAATGGGAACAAATACAGTATTTGTAATTGCATGTGGCCCGCGGGCCGTAATTTGAGGACCTCTGCTATATAGTCAGACCTATAATATGTAGACTTTTTTCTTGTAATTATCCCTTAAATATTATAGTAAAACAAGTATTAACATTGTATTAGGCATAATAAGCAATCTTGAGATGATTTAAAATATCTGGAGGATGTGCGTATCCTGTCTGCAAAGACTAGATCATTCCTATATAATAAAAGGCTAATATGCAAATCGACCAAACTGCGCAACTACCGGTCGCTATGATGCACACTTACCACCAGAGAGCAGACGCTCAACGCAGGAGCTGCCCCCTGGTGGTCAGTGGGCTCCCACAGGGGGCATGCCATTCAGCCAGAAGCTGGGCTCACAGCTGGAAGTGCAGCAGTGGTGGCAGCACTAAGGATGTCCGACTGACGGTTTAGGACACCCCCCCCCTCACCAAGTGCACAAATTTTGTGCACCAGGCCTCTAGTTTAATATAAAGAGCATTCACGGATTTGGGTATCTGTAGGAGCCTTAGAACTAATCTCACACAGATACCAAGGGGCAACTGTAAAATTTATATTTTTACAGAAATTTTATCACATGCACCCAAAATAAGTTTTGCATAATTTCAAAAAAGTCATTATATAGACAGAGCTTAAGATATGCAAGTCAAACTTCTCTCCTCTTGGCTTCTGTTCTCCAATTAGTTTATTGACATATTTCCAGAGCTCCTTGGACACCAGCTGCTTTTCATTCTTCCTAAGGGCAGCTTAAACCATGACTCTAAACCACAAACCACACTAGTTTCTTAGAATAAGAATTATCCCC